GGATCGGTCATCATCGCAGTAGCAGCAACAAGCATCGCGTTGACCTTGTTCTTCTTGATGAGGAAGAATTTTACCAACTGCTGGTGGAAACGAGTTCTGCTGGCTTTCATACTGGCAGGCGGTGTTTCAGCCATGCACTGGACTGCCTCGGTGGGGACGAAATTTCATGTCAGAAAAGAGAGCCACACGGGCCAGGTGGAGCTGTCGCGTCGGTGGATGGTAATCATTGTCATTGCGCTGGTAAGGCATTGTTCCATGGCAAGGTCGGGTGTTGTGCTGACGTGTGCCAGTCGGTCTTCTGCTGTGTTGTCCTTTTGGGGTTTGCATTAGCTGCTGGCCGCAACCGCCGGATTCAGAATCAACGGGCCCAGCGGATCGTGTTGGCGTCTGCAACGTTTGAAGATGGAAAGTTGATGGTGCTGCCGGATGGAACGCTTCCCATGAAGACGATTACCGATACCTTTTCGGAGCAGGTAGGTCTACCAAGCGGTCTAGCTTACTTCAACTGACCGTGGCCTAGTCGTTCGAAGAGCACTTTGGTAAGCGACACCAAGTCTTCCAGTGGCTCTACCGCACATCACGCAACTGGCGAGGAGTGAATGACTTGATTCCTGGGATGCGACGGCACCTGAGAGCATGCACCACGGAGAAAGATGGCCAGAGGCAAGAGGATGAGTATTCGGTTCTTTTCCGTGAGATGTTTTGCGTCGCAGCCAAAGATCTGGCTGATGCTACCCACCAGCCGTTGCAATCTGTGGGAGTCCTTCACGAAGACATGCTTATCACTGGTCAAATTTCTGGGGGTGCCAGCTTGGCCTCAAAGATGGACCCGGAGGCTGGAACCAAGCGCAATCGGGGTAGAGGGAAGGTGCTGTTCCTTGTCAAGAATGTTGATAAGGCAGAGTCCGCGCGGCTGGCAACATTCGGCTTCCGATTCACGCCGCCATCGAATGTTTACGACGTCCTTTCCAGGGTAATGCAAGTGCCCAAGCACGATCTTTCGAAGGTAGTGGCATCCATGGCCGCGTCTGATCCGGATCGGGAAGCGCTTATCTCTCCTGGGGTTTATTTGGGCTGTTTCGCGGTTCAATCAGACGAGAACGGTGGTTACAATGTTTTGATCAGAGAAGGAGCAACGAGTCGACTGCCGATGCATTCCCTCGGGATAAGCGTGTTGACACCAGGGCATTTCCGTTTCCTGCAGACGTACAACGGCCGAACAGCCGGCGAGCTTACGACCACCCTCCGGCCGAGCATTAAAGAGGCAGCGCAGGCGGCCGGTCTGCCGGAGTCGTTTGCAAGCCAGTGGAGCGAGGCCCTGTCACGTCTTCTGCTCGAAACCAAAGATAGCTTCTTCAACCAAGCCGTCCTAGATGCGAACCCGCAGTTCCTCCCCACGGCTACGTCGGAGGAGGCTATGTCTCGCCCAGGGATAGGGACGGTTGGGCAGATGATTGTCTTCAAGACACTGGTTCCGGCGAATGCTACCGTCACGGCTCCGAACCTTGTCTTCACACCACTCACCTTCTTTGCCACGCAGCAGCGCAGCTACCCTGGCTGTGCCGAGCACGAAGTGCACGCTCGGCGTGTCTATCGCGAATTCTCTGGGAGGGCCGCCCCGGCTGTCGGCGCGCGATCAAAACCAAGAGCCGGCTTCTGGAAAGGCGCGTCATCCCAATTTGGGCGAGTCAGCCGCGGCATAACGGCAGGAAGCTCCTGTTCCCGCAGTCCTAGCGTGTCTTCAGAGAAGAAGTTGGTCGCGAACAACGATCCGTTCGCTTTGGCGGGTATCATGGTCAGTCAAACCGTGACGATCAACGTAGTTGAGCCTACGACTGCAAATGAGATGAAAGACTTGGGGCCCAGAGTGGCGGTCACAAAGCTGGATGAGTCGGCAGATAACCTGACGTGGTGCGAGGCGCTGTTGCGGAGTGTAGTGATGTGAGGATTTGATATAGCTGGGGAAATAGGGGTTATTTTTGGAAGGTGAGCAATTTTTGTTTATGGGATGTTATGATCTGGCGTTTCGCATGATATTTGAAGTGATCCCATGTATTAGAATTATTTTTGTAGTCGGGTTCTCGGGGCGTTTTTCTTTTCTTTTATAACTCGGGAATGCAATTTTGCCACAACGTGCGCCAACGACAGACAGATGGTCTCCACAATCACACAGCTGCGGATACATACATACGAGACTACCTCAGTAGTCTACCGAAGTCCAAGATCGACCAGCCGGCAGCAGTGTTCTCAACAGCCGGCCAGCCCGGCCGGCTGCGTTGGGCGGATGTGGCTGTTTAGGCTGCGAAAATCGTGGGCTGGCTATTTGGGCTGCGGCCCGCGACGGAGATCACAATGACGACAAATACGACCACCATGATACTGCTATGAAATGGAAAGTACATAAAGATGTTCGCCGTGGAAAATGACGACTAGGAGGGAATAACTAGATAGGAGTTTACTATAACATTACAGATCCTAATAAGTTTATCGAACTCCGCCACGGGAGATCACTCAAAGCCCTGGCAGCTGGGCTGGCCCGACAGCAGGCTGGGCCGTTTGGGCTGATGCAAAAAGCCCGCCGGGCTGGCTACTGAGAACACTGGCCGGTAGACAGCCCGCCACGGCACCACCTCATCATGCAATGTCCTCTTTACAGCAATGCACGACGAGAGATGGTCTCCATGTTCCGAAAACACGACAGAAAAGCCCGTCTACAAGGCTTACTGTACGACAACAGAGGATTCGAGGCCCAGCAGTGCTCCCTAAAATGGACTGGCATTGCCACGAGAAAGTGGCTACTGGGAGGAAGGTGTGGGACAAGAATCTAGAAGGATTAGGTAGAGCAGGCAGGGCACGAGGAGGGAGCCGGTGGGGAAGTGGTGGGGGACTATGGTTGGGGACACCTAAAGACGGAGGGGTTTGGGTACCCTGACTTTGGACAGAGCATCCTCCACCAAAAAAAAGTTATTTTAAAAAATAACACTCTCAGGGGCCTAGTTTTCGCTCGCTCTATCGACTGATTAACTCAGAATTTCCGAATTCTGCCTGGTTGTTGAGAAAACAGGACCCTCCCCGGGGACAAATGTCAGTTATATGGTCAAAAAAGGAAGATTCACGCTCATCACTCGGCACTTTTGTATGTGTTACTAAGCGAAATGAATGTCAGAAATCCCACAGTGACTAGGAGCCCCCAACCATAAAGGCAAACTCCTAAGGGAGAGCATGCGCACGCGCCTGGGCATTGATAGCTTAATCAAGATTACTCCCTTAACAGACGATGCTCCTAAGCATGGAACACATTCTCCTTCGAAGACGGGGGTGGGGGTGTATCATAAAGAGCATATCAACCGTGCTTTTTTCACACCAACCGTCGCAGCTTGCGTCGGTATGCATCACCCTGCAACTGCCGCTCTTCTTGACATCGGTAATTCTTCCGGGCGCCTCAAACTCGAACTCCACTAGTCCTTGTTTGCTGGGGCGGGGTTTTCATCTCATCTGGTGGGGTTCATTCTTTTAAGCTTGCAGCGTTTTTCCAACTTCATGGGGTCTGTATCGTTGCCAGTGGGGAGTGCTACTAATATGCTTCCGTGTTCGCTCTGACTATACTGTCCCTACTGCCGTCTCTTCGTCTCCCATATAGTCTCCTGTAACGGCGCGGTCACGGACCGCTTGCGGCCGGTCAGTCACGGTCCGTCACGTTGGTCAGTGTGACCGACTTCCCTACAATCGAACGAGTGACCCACTATGATTCTCCTTCAAAGACCCAGAAATCATACAGTTTGACAAAAACTCATGGGAATAATCCCATGAGAAAATCTGAGCCCGCCACCTCAAGGGTTCCAATCTTGTTTATACCATTGAAACAGGGGCTTTTTTGCATCTGCTTGAAGTCACATGTAATCACATGTCAAACGAAACTATCACTAACTTGAAGCTACAAAAACATTCGACGAGTCTCGCCCCCACTGTAAGCATGCATGGGCCCACAAGCCGAATCCAAAAAGAACCGGGGATGGTGGTGTCTCGACTATGTACTGGGGCATCTTGAACATTGCGGGCATAGAATCAGTTCGCACGAAAGCCCGGGGCATCTTAAACATTAACCGATAAATAAATAAATAAATTGCCGCAACGTGTATTTCATGCGGCAGTTGTCATGTCTCTGCGTGATGTTGAAGGCGCCGATTGGTCGTGTTGGGCACGCGACAGTGATTCAACAAAAGGAAAAAATGGGCGCGGTTCAGCAAATTTCTTGTCAATTGAGTCGTGCCCAACACAATTTTCTGCGTGGTGAAATGTAGCAGCACACTTATTATAACGGAAACTAACACCCCGTCCGTCCGGTGCGGAATTTTCGGCCACTTGGAAGGAGTGTACTCGCAGGTGCTCCTCGAGGTGTTCACAAGAGAGTGGATGGAGGTGCATAACCCACCTCCAGACCCGGCGGCGCGCGATGCGGAGATGCAGGACGCGGGCTCGGACTTCCCTCCGGCCACTCCCACCCCCGACATCGAAGAAGTCTTGGGACGGCATATTGCCACCCTCAAGGAAGGACAAGATGCCAACATGGTCAGGGACGGCGGCCGGACCTATTCTCCATGGGCCTGTTCGGTTATCTCTTGGTTTTGGAGTTACCATGAAAAAAGCCGCGAGTCGTGGATTTTGAGTTACAGCGATCGTTCGGCAGCTCAAAAACTATGAGGCTTTACCACCACCAGTGAAACCATGGTCGCGCTGCCGTACTCTCCTGCAAAGTCTGCAAGTTGACTTTTTCATGGTTTTGCGAGTTTGTATTGGGGCCAAAACCATTGTGCCACCGAACTGGCCCTAAGAGAACCGAAAAGTTGTGAATTCTGTCAACAGTGGATGACCATCGCGGTATCGGTGGACTATGAAGGTCAGTCAGTAAGCGTGCCTTCCAGCGGCGCACTCTCAAACTCGGCAGCCGGTGAGATGTTGGAAAGCTAGTGGGGGTTGGGGTGCTCGGTGAGCATAAAAAAAGCCTGACGCGGGACTCGAACCCGCAGCCTTGGGATGATCGGGATGATCATTGTAAAAGTCCCATGCTCTGACCATTGAGCTAGCCAGGCTTAAGTGTATTAGTGCGGAGGTGAATGTAGCCTATATACTAGATCCCCCGCTCTGACCATTAAGCGGCCGCCAATGGCTGTAAAAGTGTACACTTGGGAGGTTACTAAGCGGCACTTATGCCCGTAAAAACCGCCTTCAAAATTGAAAGGCTTGAGAGTCACTGGCAGTTGTTTCTTAGGAGCCTTTAAATTGTTGTGAAGAGTCGGACATTGTTACGTGAGAGTAAAGGTATTATGAGCGGTGAAGGTGGCGTGGTTGTGGTTGCCGTTGTGGTGGTTCAAAGGAGTAAAACTATGACTGGGATTTATTATTACCGAACGCTGCTGCAAAGTCTACAAGTTGACAACTGGCTGCGAGTTCATGGTTTCCTATGTTTGTCAAAACCATGTCTCGCGGGCCGAACTGGCCCTAAGTCTGAAGGATATATGTTCCATGCCGTTCGCGACCAAACCCAGTTGTGACTGGGCTCCACGTCGTGACTGATATCCCCGTTCGCGACTAGGACGTCCTACATGCGAACAAGTAGTTAACCCATAGCGCAGAGAACATCACGCTTTATAAACGATATTATTCAGTTTATTGTCATTCCACCGAGTATGACTACGGTAATCTCAGGCCCTTGAGCGAATGAATGGAACTTTAACTGTTGGATACGGAGAAACATTGCCAAATCTCTTCTTCATCACCGCCGTCCTCATCCTCCTCATCCTCCTCCTCCTTTTCGTTCTGCTCATTCCTCTTCCTGTCATCCTCTCTTGCAATTGTGATTGTCCTGTCGTTTTTTCTTCCACTGCGGCGGCATTTTGGGCTGGTTGTTGTAGATAGGTTCGGTGTAACGCGGAAACCCTAACCCTTCACCTAGACAATTCCGACATCAGCATCATTAAGGACGTCTGCGTGATTATGAGAGTTAATTCAGGTATTTGAAGTATATGATTTAGTGAGGAAGTTCTAGTCCTCAACTACCAGTAGAGTACGAGTACAGTAGACGTTCGTCAGTAGGAATACCAGTCGCGACGGGGATTTGGTCGCGTACAGGCCGGAGCATATAAGGGGCCCTCCACCCCCTTTTCTATTCATTGGATCTATATAGCAAGTATAAATGGTTGTTTGTTGCATAGAACATCGATCTATTCGGCAGCTATAGGGCGACGGGAAGTCACCCAGTCTAGTGGAAGACTTCCCGTCGCACTATAGGAGGCCGAAAGATCGCCCGGTTCTATAATAATAGAACGCCAATAGAAGCACCCACTTCCCGTAGATTCTATGAGGAGATGCCGGGGGAGGGGGGCATGAGGCCAGGGGTCCTAGAGAAAAGTCCGGCGGGTGTTGCAGCTAGCGGGCAAAATCTTCGACAGACCGCTTTTTGAACCTGGTTCATTATAGATTTTTTGCTTCTATTCACGCTCTATAGCTCCATTCGATAGAAAGGGGGAGCGAAAAAACAATCCTTTCGCCCCGGGCATACATGCAGCTCTTGACGGCTGTTGGAATATGCGTCCTGACATAATGCTGGGCCCGTGGCTGGTAGGCATCCCGTCCCCCTGCGCGTCCCACGGCCTCCCGGCCCCACGGCGGGTCGGCATCCCGTCGCCGTGTCCTCCCCGGTCGTTTCCTGGCACCTACGGCCGTCTAGGCCTCGCTATATCGGCCTTTTAGGCGCTATTGTCACTTAACGCCTCTACCCTGGCACCTTAAGTTTTACGGTGTTCCCAGGTGCTGGGGGGCGCGTCGGAAGGATCCTGAGAGATGCAGAGGATATACACGTTCTGTCTGCGGACGGAAGTCCTAATCTTAGTACGGTGTTTGCTACGCGGAGGTATCTCGTGGGATGCGCATAGTGTCGATTGCGGTTCTACTTTTGACTGTTCACGTTTGCTTCCGTTTGTCGATCCTGGGCTGGTTTTTTGTTGGTATCTCCATAAGTCTCATTTATTGGAAGTATCCTCCTGTTATTATGAAGTCCAAGTCCTTGGATGGAAGAATATCCGTTTTCATGCCTTCAATAATTATGGTGCAGGCAGCTATAAACCTAGTCGTCACACGGATATTTTCGCCGGAAAACAAGCAGCACACAAGTGCAGAAACAGTGGAATGGAAAGCACTGGATTGTAGAGCGCATCTGCTTTGGGTGCTTGATGCTTGTTTTGCTCTGATTTCCGACGCGGGGACGACGGCTTTGGTTGTGGTCGTCCATCTCCGACAACCAGGTTTATAGCTGCCTGCACCATAGAGTGAATGGACGCTTCACAGAAGGAAGCCATCACTGCTGCTGACTGGTCTGAATCCGTTGTGTACTGTAGGTTTAGTTTATCGCACATAGAACTTTCGAACTGCAAAACCTCGAGAACCAAACCAAAAGCTGGCTGGACCTTGAGCTTTCTAGGTCCGCGAGTGGCCCTCTCATCCTGATGGTCAAAATTGACCTCCAAAGTTCAGCATGTAATTACCTACTATACATAGAGCTAAGCAAATGCGGGTGTAGAGGGAAGGTGCCATTGTTGATGGGGGTTTCGTCCGACCATGATTCGTACAGCTTATTCCCGGGCGGTTATCCTCAGCAGTGACAAAGAGTCTATATTAGTAGGGTAGTTTTTTGTTTGACGCTCTTCTACTCCGGAGCCAGCCACTCGAAACATGTTCCACTGTTGTCTAATACAGCACAATCCCACACAAAAATGAGGGTAATACTCCAGATGCAGTAGCACCTCTCAGTCTCGAGCCATTCTTGTCTTGCGGGAAACGATCTATCAATATCATCACCCTCTCTTCTTATTATGCCCGCTAGTGTCGACGTGGTCCGGCGGTACCATATTATATGGAGCGAAAGGTGGAACGCTTTGGTGAAAAGTAAGCTTTTGGCACTGGTGGGTGACACATAGGACTGGAGGGGGTAGTCTTTTGGAGGTGAAAGTGGTACCGGCTGATCTCAAGGAAAGGTAAAATGATGATCAGTTCTTCTATTGTCAGCCACTAGAAGGCCAGTAGGTTGCAGGGTATTTTTTTCCCCTATAGCTACGATTAATACGGTTTGTTTGTTTGTTTGTTTAAATCATACATCGTACACAAGGACATTAGCCCAAGTGCCTCCTATCTTGCGAATCGGAGTGAGGCCAAAGGCCTATGACGGACAAAAGAAACCTGGTATCCTGTCCCCACGGTTTTACCCGTCTGTTGGGGCTCCCCATACAAAGGAAATTCATGAAAAGCAAACCACACCATTAAACTCGCCCTAAATCATTGGTGTCAGCCCTTTAATAGGGACTTAACCCGTACGTCTGCCAATTTCAGTTTCGTTGAGGAATTTCAGCACAACCGCCGTCATCCTGTCGTCACAAAAAATAGCCCTCACTCTCTTTTGTCTGCGCCGTCCCCATATCCTCTCCACCCCTCTGAAGAAGTCTTTGCGCTGTTCCTTCCACCTTTTGCAGTGCAGCATAAGGTGGCTTCTCGTTTGTGGGGTGTCGTCGTTGCACCAATCGCATCGATTGGAGTCTCGTCGTTTTCGCTTGAGTAGGTAGTCGTTGGTTACCGCATGACCGGACATCAGTTGGTAGTATACTTGGGCCCTCTGTTTGGGGATCTTGGCAGTGTCTTTGCGGACTTTCCACTGTATTCTGCCTCTAACTGTCCTTGGCTTGTATCGGTGGTCATTCTCAAGCTTGTCAGCGATCCATCTCTGCTGAGTGTCTGACTCGACGTCGGTGGCCATTCGGTTGACGTGCGCGAGTGATGTCCATTCGGTGGGATTTTCCCTTCCCGCTGTGAGCCGGTCTGCGATTTCGCCACCCTCTGCTCCAACGATTAATACGGTACCGAAGGTTCGCTTACCAACTCGGAGCTGACCGAGTGATTTGCAGTGAGTCAAATTGTCACAACCCCGTCCATAGCTACCCACCGCAATATCATATTCTCTGGCAGGGCATATAAGAATCTGCCACTTCTGTGAAAGGGATATCGACGCATTCTTTGATCAGAAGTTGAGGTCGTCGGACCTGCATATCCATTGGAAGAATGACGGCTAGAAAAAGAGACCCGAGGTGTGGGACATCCAGTTGGTGAAGGGGAGTCACCTTTTCCTCCCTGATCGCAACAACCAATTCAGAAGGATCTGCTCGAATTGGATCTCGTTGAGAGTTTGGAGAACCAGAAGGTGAAAATGAGGCGTAACCATGACCATCGGAAGTTGTTGCGTGGAGTGGACGATCTTGCGAACTACGACTACCGACCCGATTTACGTGGAAGGACTGTCAACGTAGGGGACAAGACCTGTAAGGGAGATGTTACTGGCCGATCATTCACCTCGAAACCCTGGAGAATTTCGCCAATATATGCAGATGCTGGGAGGCTTAGCTGGTGGGAAAGAAGTGATTGCCACTGCCGGCCCTGTTTCCTCTTCAGCCGCGGGAGTTTTGCTTGTTTGTAAATGGTGTTCTTGTCCTCGGCGAAAACTCGGAGCCAATATAATCTCACAACCCGCCGCTGGTGTGCGAGGGTCCGTGGTTGATGTGTCAACTCCTAGATGAGACCTATCCAGAGAGCGGCAGGTTGTTCTTTGGGAATGAAGAGAAGTGGCCAGAAAAGATAGCAGAGGCGGCGAAGGCACTCTTTTCAGAGTTCTTGGAGCAACCCTTGTTTTGCGAATTGTCCCTTTTGACGCAGTGGAGGGCTGTTATTGCTGACCCACGACGGTCGGGAGCAAGTACAATCAAGGCGACAATCCAGTTTCTCAGTGGACCAAAAGGCGTCGAAGATAAACCGGAACCAAGCAGTTCTTGGGCACTAAAGTCCCTGTCGGTGTGATGCGAGGTCCGTGAGATAAGATCAAACCGACTTTGATTTTGGCGCTATACTTCAATCAAACGTAGACTATTATGAAGCGTTCTCTGAAATCTTTCTCTTCCTTCCAACCCCGCTGACGCCCTTGCCAGTGGCCTGTTGACACTTTTCTTTGGCCTGCTGCTGTAAATACTAACTGTCGCGCCTCACGACGTTCCTT